GAATAATTGAAGTTTTATGTTCGTTTATAGTTCTTTTTGCATGATTTGATATTGGTGTATCCAGTATATATGATGGAATATAATTGAGACAAAAAATTTTGATTTTGTTCAAAATATTGAGTATTGATATTCCTGGTTAATCAACTGATTATATTTGAAAAACTTTACGTAATACTGCTACAAAAACTACACTTAGTTGAAGCTTCTCAAGATGACTGTACCAATGTGTCTGGTGATATCACTTGAACTCTTAACCGCCATTTTAAAAAGTTTGATTGAGGATTCTTTGCTATTGAGTTATTTTTCTTCTGAATTATTAATACTTTATTGAATATATGAAATATAAAATCATTTTCGTTGAAATATTGTTGAAATATTTCGTTGAAAAATCGTTTTTGTTTTACATACACATTCCTCAGTTATGTTAGTGGAATTCAGTTGAATTTTTTTCCATATACCGACAAAATTTACTGACTTTTTGCCAAATGCCCAAAAAGATGTATCTGCTCTAACACCTCTCAAAATTTCCAATCAGGTCAATTTCTCTTCCTCCCAACCTTTCTTGTGTTTCAATTCAATAAAATTTGTTTGATTATTATGAAGCAAAAATAGATCACCCTATCCACTGCGAACTATTTGAAACGGCTAGAAATATCTGCAGTGAAATAAATAATATATTTTTTAGTGTCTAGTTTAAAAAAAGTTAATATTGTTCATGGCAACGATCATTATATTTATGTTCATCCCAGAACAAATCGCTTATAAGTCTCCAGTACCTTAAGGAACACGAAACTTTGCACAATACTTGACTTGAGATGTTATTGAGAAGACACTCACCTTTTCATTGAAGACCGTAAAAGGTTAGTATCAGATAAGTATTCATGGCAAATAACGCAATAAATGAAATATGATCCCATCGGTCTGTTGGCCTACACCCAAAAATATTCAAATTCGAATATTTATACATATTCATTCGTTGGGAATTTCACTTTCAAAGCTAATCGAGTGAATATTTTTAAGGATTCTTGTGGCGTGTTATGTCATAAATTGGTTGAGAATATTAGCCTCAAGTCAGTATTTAAAACTCAAGCGCTTATAATCGAACTGTTAGTACTTCATTGAATACAATGGTGAATTAAATTGTTACGACATTCAATTATTGTTTGAGTGGTAACGTATTGATTGATTTGTAGCTGATGACAAAGACTGAATCACTTAGACAACAAATTATGATTTTGTTCAATTTTAAGGACCATCACAGATATTCAAGGTAACATTGGAATATCCTACAATTGTGTGAAGAATCTGTTTAAAAAAAACTGTTTAAAATCTGTTTTTCCGGTAATCAGCTGTCGCCCCCAACGAACGACAACTCTCAGAAGTTGAGAAACTTGTGCAAGCTAAGGACTAACGAGGTCTTACCTTTTAACGTGTGATTCCTAACACACAAGAGAGATAAATTCACACTATAAGTATTAGAAACTTTGAAATTGAATCGAAGAGTCGAAAATGAGAAATGCAACTTCCTATGCTTTTTTTACCACTTGTATTTGTAACTACCGTTACTGCAGTTTCGTCCTAAAAGGATATTTTCAAACGTATACAATGAACAATGTTCTTATAGGACGAAACTACAATAACATTACTTACAAATACAATTGATAAAAAAAGAAAGATTTATTTCTCAGTTTTCCAGATGATCTCCTACCACGTAATAACGGCTAATTCCATCAATTTATTGAATTGAAGAGCTTTCGGACGATAGTTTCTCTGAACCTGAAAAAAATCAAAATGAATTTGGATGGTAGTTCAAGAACAATTTTTTGGGTGGTAACTCTTGTCTTGAATAAAAGAGTTGAGCAATCTCTTCTTCATGTACTAAATTTGTGTGCACGTATAACCTGCAGCGGGGGATGGGGGGCGTTAGAATACCTCTGTCGAGTGAGGTGTTACCTGTGGAGGTAATTGTTATCATACATGACGCCTTATCCTCAGCTGTGTGTTTTCTTGCTGGATAGATTTATGACTGAGTCAATATAGTATCACTAGCGAAACCTTGGAGATACCGAGCACCCTTTCTGGACCATGAAGTTACCAAAGAATCCGACCTTGACACTATAGAGGATATGAATGTCCGCTAAACAATCCAAAGTGCCATCCCTATGTCAAGCAGAGCTTCACAGTTCCTCAACTCAACAAACCTAGATGGCTAAGTGGTGCAGCTACGAAGCGACGACGTATCGATTCGTCGAGAGCAGGATATCTTATGAATCTGCCTGCATTAACTTCTTGAGCAGTGCGAGCAGAATCTGCACCAGAAGAGAAAGAAGTCTTCTCCTGAGGAGATTGGCAAACGCTTATGTTTGAACGAACCAGAGGTGAAAAACCCTGCATGGCTGCAAATAATCAGATATAACAGACGTACATATTCTCTCATATATGGAGGTTGCTGTGGTCATCAAGGACGGAATCGACAACTCAAAATCTACTAATCATCTGGAATCTCTTCGGTGACCCATTATGGCTGCCGTAGAGAGTACTCCAAAAAATGTCCACAGGTGTACATTCTGGTGGTTTCAGTTAGTAATTTTGCAGGTTTTCAGTGTTTGGCAGAGTTCCACCTTTGCAAGCTGCCCTGCAACTCTGCAAATGAAGTGATCGGCTCCGTTAAGGAGCTGGATTCATTTGATCGAATTTCAATATGTGTGAGCAACAATAAAACCTCTATTTAAAACATCTTACAAAAATATCTATCGAGTATCCACGCAATATAAATTAGATTTAGATTTAGTGCACCATCTTTCAAAAAGAGGTTCTCATATGAACACGGATTTCCGAAGTATATATCACAAGTATATAAATAATGAATCTATCAGATGAGTGAACTTCTAGAACATCAGGTGTTCCATGCACCTGATGAGATTTGGTAAAGTTGAAAGTTAAATTCAGACAAATCAACAAAACTAACAAAATGAATAAGTTGAAAACTCAACAGACTGAATTAACAATAGTAGAAAAACTAACGCCACTTTTCAGCTCGTTCAATTGTTTCTATCAACTCGTCTGGAGAGATTTGCGAAGTTATATTTCCAAATGATCGTACAATTCTTTTCTCTGAGATTCTGACAGTTTGGCGCTGCACATAGGGGTATTTTAATTATCTACGCGGCCAAAAGTCCAAATAACAAAGTTGAAGAAATGCTACTGTATTCGACTACATGAGGCACTACTACATGTGCACGGATCAGACATAATAAAAAATGCATTGTTACCCATAGGGCAACTATCTGAAGAAGCAGCAGAGGCACGCAATAAGCATTTTAGGTCATACAGAAGGATTACTCAAAAAAATTCTCTAGACAGTCCTGTAACAGAGATATTTTGAATAGGCTACTTTTAAGCTCAGATCCCTTTTTTAGTGCCTCAAGGGTAATAAAGAAAAATAAGAAGTCTTCTTTTTTTCCTGAAACATTGAATATGCTTGTATCTGCAACACCAAACCCAGCAGACGCACTTCAATAAATGAAATTTAAACGTTCAAGCCAGTCTCGGATATACATACACAGTGGGTTGAATGGACTGACGCCTATTAGAAAACAACTACTCCCCTGGCTCACTGACTAATAAGAAAGAAAAATTACAGGAAACAAAATGAATAGGAATTCCACAGAACTTTAATAAATCAGCTCCTTGTTGTAGGAATACAATAATATATTTCATTGCCCCAGACTTCAAAATAGAACAATGAAATAAAATAAAAACTTATTCAGTAATCCGGTAAAAGGCAGAATTCGGTTGGTGAGTTACCGAAAAGACGCAATCTTCCATTCAACCTGGAAACAAATAATTATCCAAAAGTTCTTCCTGACCCAGAAAACTCAAAATTTTATGCAAGATATAGAACAAAAAAAATATATATACTTGGTAATGATTATAACTACCACAAAGACCATACGAACTAATCTATAATTAAGTTGTTATTTGCAAAAAAAGTTATTGGCGCCTTCTCTGCGGCGAATGATATCACATTATAGGCTTTTCAATCAAAAAGTTCTGAAAATGATCACTTTCCATAATGAAATTTTTCAAAACAAATATTTGAAAGCTCCTCGTATCTTACGTGAGTTTTATTTTGTTGGTGCATGTTTAGTTTCAGGGGATACACAAACTTTCATCAAGAATAACTTTTTGTCGAAAAACCCTTAATAAATAAGTTTCCCATATGGTGCATACTTTGGGGATGACACTGTATGAACACTGAATTAAACAAAAAATAATGTTCTCTATTCTATTTGTATTCCAAACATTCATTAAGGAATTGAATAAGATATCACTCACAGAATTGCTACTTTTTTCGGAAATGCATTCGAATCGCATCAACTTAACAGCTTGTAAGCCAAAGTGAAAGTTACAACAGATTTAATCAACTTTGAAAATATTTCAAAACGTGATTTGTTCATAAAATACAACAACTTGGCGAACATTTATGAAATACATTGTACATTATCTTCCTTACTGTACAATAATCAAAATAAGTTAATTACTACTTTTACAGATTCTCTAGAAGGTCGATCTCGTTATTTATAGCTCGTTCCTTATATTTCAGAACGGCCTTGTCTTTTTGTGAGAATTTAACGGCCTGTAGTAGCTATCAAACATCGATAATAGGATAAATAATGCATTGGAACTTTCCCTAGCTAATGTCATCCAGCATTACAGCATCTCATTGCACAATACATAAATTAGCATTATGTCATGGATCTTAACAACAATTTCTATATGATTCATTCGTAACTTCTTATAAATGTTGTAGCTATTCAGATAATAGTAATTGAATTTAATACCGACGATCCAAATCTCAGAGAATATGAAATTGTGTTAATTTGGAAGTTATATCACTGTTTATATGCATATTGCTAAGATGAATTCTATTTCAGTCTGTATTTCTTTCTATACGAGTGATCTCAAGCCTCTTTTCTATTTACGAATGAAACAAATTGTTGAAATTTTCGGTTTATTTCCTTTTTTTAGAAAAATATATTTACAAGATAAATAAACAAAGTTTCTTCAGAAACTGAAGCGAAAACATATCGTGGCTGAATTCTATCATTTAGGAATGTGGTCTCCTTGGGCCTGGAAACCATTTTCATCAGCAGTGTAAGTTACGGTGTATGTAACCCCGTTCCATGTGAATTGATAAGATCCTGCAACTTTCATGATTTCATTATCGGATCCTGCGTTGGCCAGTTGTCCGGTTTCTTGTTGGGAGATGCCGTTGCTCGTGTCAAAACTGCAAATAAATGAAGTTCATAATGATATATTCTTTGCAATAAATTGTACTTTCACAAAATGAACTTTCATTTGAAAGTTATACTTTGACCTGATGGGAATGAAGATAATCTCCATTTCCTGTTTTGGTTGGCATCCATCGTATTGATAGTTTTTAATGGATCTTTTGTAGTCGATGTCAATTATGATAGAAATTGTCAAAATATATAGATTGGTGTTTCTGTGAATATGTAGTAATTTTTCAGGGTGTAAATGAAATTTTTGATAGAAATTGTCAATTATCATAACAACCTTTTAAAATAATCACTGAATATTCAAATATCCATTTTGAATATAAATTTCAATTGGAACTCAAAGTACTCGTATAGTGTCCATTATAGTGGCAATGTAATTTTCATATGATGGCCAAGCTGAACAGATTGCTTGAATTATTTTCGTTGAATTGAAAATATTTTGATTCTGCGTATCAGTTATCTATATACTTTTCACCCTCACAAATCAAGATGCGGTTAAACGTTTACAAAGTTAACCTTGGTCGTGGTAAAATATACCTAAGTTTGAAATGAATAATTCAAACTGAAATTACGTGTGCCGCATACTTACTTGAAGTTGTATCCATCAATTCCTATATTGTCACTTTCGTATTTTGTGATGACTGCATCCTTATCCGCTTGTTGGGGAGCGGCAGCAGCGATGGCCAACAAAGCAGAAAGAACGAAGATGATCTGAAAAAATTTTGAAGTTGAAAATTTGCTTTGGCAAACTTACACTGTAGGTTATACAGAGAAAATTATTGCGCTGATTTTTTTATAGTATGGTGGTTGCTGTTATTCATAATCGAATGTGATGGACTCTGAGATGACATACCCTATTGCCCCTTTGAAAATACCTAATTTAACTTTGAAATAATATGTTTGTATATCGATTTCTGGAAACAATAATGTAATAAGAAATAATTTGATGTCTTGTTTTCTAGTATAACTTTTTTACGGAGCTTGTTTCAGTAAGCTGCATCAAAAATATTTTTTATTGAAAGAAGAAAATGCATTTTTCCATAATTCCACCAACAAAATTGATAAATCAAAAAAATTTTACGGATTTTTCGAAAACAAATTCACTCTATCCAGAATATTATCCCAGCTTCGGCACATTTTCACTCACCATTTTCATTTTTGCGGTAGATTAAAATTATTCACAGCAGAACGAACTGAAGATGTAGTGGAGATGCATCTCTTTTATACGTCCCTCTATTCTTTCCCATCACTGCGTGTCTCGGGGCATGACATTTACCTCCCCCTCGTGTTCATCTTCATTTTGGCATTGTGAACTAAAAGTTCATACGTGCAAAGGTGACGACTGCTGTTCTGTGAAACATCTTTCGCCCGGGGTTAAGTTGAAGAAGTAATTGCTGGGTTTGGCAATTGAACGGTGTAATGTGTTACACGAAAGAAATTTGAAGAGCGAGCAATTGAAAGAGACAATGATAATTTATAAATTTAATTCTGGAGATGCTTGGGAGTTTGAGAAAAAATCATTTGATCTTTCTGGAGATGTTTGGGAGTTTGAGAAAAAATTATTTGATCTCTTGCGTAATCAGTCAGAAAAAGTTGAAAACTCTGTTTTTGAATTGTTGTTGTGCAACCCGTGAATATGTCAGATTGATTTACCGAATAGTGAAAGGTATTCAGTTTGAAGATAGTATTCCCAACAATCTTTTACCCTCATAGACGGATTTATGTCAAAAAATGATTGGCTAGTCCAGAGGACATATTACCATTTATAGTTTTGTCCATCACCATCAAAATGTGCTAGGAGTTAGGCAAGTTTGATCTAATAACACCTTTGACTGCAATTTAGAGGTCATTTGTCAAATTCACATAATAATAATTGATTGACCTTGTGAATATTACAGTTCTAGTATCTTCAATAATCTCAATTCTTCTAGTATTCTTCTGTTGATGCTCTTTCAGACAATAATAATCACCAAAAAATGAAAAGCTCAGGTGTATCATCAATATTTTCGGTCCAAGAGCAGAAAGTAATACTAAATTGGTATCTACAATTCTCGTGTATATTGCTTTTCCTATTCAGGTAACTGAAAACTAATCACACCTACTCTTTCAGTAAGTAATATACCCATATTATGATCTCCCTTATATGCACTACACATAAAACATATAAGCATAAGCTTATATTATTACATTTTTTAATTCTATTTAGAGTGTAAACAAATCTGTTTAATTAATCCTTCATCTAATTTTGATTGTATTCCATACATTTGATAAATTAAAGTTATTGATAAATTGATGGATTCAGCCGTTACTGCGTGGTAGGAAATCATAAGAAATGAGAAATAAAAATTTCTGTTTTTTACCATTTTTATTTTAAACAAAAGTTAGTGCAGTTTCGTCCTATAAGGACATGTTCAAACTTATATAGTTTAATGTTCAAGTTTGAAAATATCCTAATAGAACGAAACTGTACTAACTTTAGTTACTAACGAAAGTGGTAGAAAACATAAAAAATTCCATTTCTCATTTTTCATAAAGTTATTGGTAAATTGAACGTATGAGGAAGCTATTCTTAAATGAAACAAGTTTTGCTGATTTATAAATTATTATGTGAAATATAAAAACTAATGCGTAATTCAAATTGTTTTTTTCTTCATATGTTTCAGTTTCGAAATCTGAGTTTTCGTGAAAAAACGATATTTTGTAAACTCAAATCTCAACTGAAAGTTGTAGTTGACTCATATTTGAGAAAATTAATTTTTTTCGTCATTTACTAATACAAAATACGTGACACATCAAATCGAATATCCCAATTTCCTTTCTGCAATTGCGTTCAAATGAAAAACAAATCGGGCGCTATTTTCAGTAGGCCTCAAAAAGTCGGTTAGAAAGTTATTTGCAACCTTCAATGTCATAATTTCTGAATACTGTAAGGTGAAAAAGATAGTCGATAGTCTCTTAAAAAATTCTCGAAAAGTATCGAACCGTTTTTTCAAAATTGATTATAATTCCCGAAAAGAAAATAATGTAATGAAAAAAATGTGCAAGAAAAACTGCGCACATTGGAATGTATACCGTGTTTTTCTTAACATTTCAATGTCGAGTTGTTTTTGTCAAATTCGGCTGAACTTTTTTCAGTGTATATTTCTTCTAACGCATACTTCTTCTGAAAAAGATGGAAGAAAATAGCTATGAGCCCATGAGGCTGCAGTTTCAGACTTCCAGACTTCCATAAAATATAAAATGATTGGAAATCCTTGAAAGAATCAATCCAAATTAAAATTTAAAATGAATAGCTGAAAGTAACGGAGACGATACTAACAATCGATACGTCGTGAAGTAACTTGGTTTGATTTTTAAAATGTTTTGATTAATTATTCTATTTTTTTACTTGTATTTTATTTCACTGTGATTTTATTCCAGGATTTTTTGCTTGATGTAATTGTTACTTTAAGCTATTTTTTTTTATTTTTGATTTGTATTGGTTCTTTTAGGTATTTCAAATCATTTTATATATTATTAGACAATGGAAGACAAACTAATGAAATTCATCATGAAACATTGTCAATCACCTTCAAACAATCGTATACTTCTTCTATTTCTCAAACAGAATTTCGTACTTCACAAAGCATTAAGAAAAAAGACCAAAATCTGAATTCACAGTCAAAATTAAAAGAAAAAACGAATTTTCAGTTTATGTCTGAAAGTTACTCCTTTGCATCATCTACACATCTTTGTATAGAATTTATTTTGTAATTAATTAATTTTTCTTTCGGAAGATAAGATTCACACATATTTTTTTGTATGAAGATGAAGAAGTAGATAGTGAAAACACTCCTTTCTCAAAAATTATTCTCTTCTTAAATTTTACCCCCCTCAATTTAACAAATTGAGTGGGCATACTTGGAGACTGGCAGTAGTTCAAATTATCTGAAGGAACAATTCGTTCAGGCCAGTCTCAAATTATCTACACTTCTACACTGTCAGTAGGACTGGCATTATCAGAAAACAACTACTTCCTTGGCTAATACCACGAAGGGTCAGATTATATCCGACACGTGTTAGTGCAGGATTCTTCATTGAAGTTATTCCTGCACATGCGACAGTTGTATCATCAACAGCATATGCAGGAATAACTTCAGTGAAGAATGTTGCACTGACATCTGTAGGATATAATCCAATGTTACTATCATAAGGGTATGACTGACACAATTCCTGCATTCCAGGTTTCAAGTGTTTGTTTATAAAGCCTATAGCTCAAAGAGTAGCTGATTAATCAAAAAGTTCTGTAAGGCTGATATGTATAATTTACAATCAGCGCTGAAATTACGGGTAAAAACTAGTGGTTTGGCAGATGATTGCAACGCCCGATTTAGGTGCTTTGATAATGAATATTATTTTCAACCATTTCAAAAAATTTAAAAAATTATACTTGGTGGATACATAAATCAACAAATATCCGCAGTCAAAAAAAATCGCAATTTTCCTCAAAACTGTGAATTTCGCAATTCACATTTATCACAAGTTGAAGGTTTACGATTAACACTTTTCAAAATTGAGGTCTGAATTTTTTTTTAACTTTTCTTTGAACGCTTCGGAAAAAACTTTGCTGAAAAAATACCAAAAAAATTATTTTCCTTCTTTCATGAATCATCAAATGAACAATGAGGAAGAATAATTAGGAAAATATGTTTCTTAGCTTATGTTCATTGTTTTTTTCATATTTTAAAAGTCTACAGGAATATTAATTTTTTAGAAAAAGAAAACTTTTCGGCTTCTCCGTCTTTGAACAATGTAGGAAACTTCTGGAGGAAAGAAGAAAGCAATTAAGTTCAAAATGAACTCCTTATAAAGAAGTGTGAATCATGCATATGAGGTATTTTCAGATACAAACGGGAAAAAAAACCCTCCCGAAATTACTTATTTCACATGAATATTGAATTACACGAAAAAAAAGAACTTGAAAAAACTACATTTAGATGATATCGTATTATATGGAAATAACTTTTTTTTTTTCAGTTTGCACTCCTTTCGTTATGGAATTGAATCAGAATAATTCATATGAACGCTACACAATGTAATATATACGAAAGAGTTACGAGTTACTTCATCAGAACCGTTTTGAATAACATTATAAGATGAAGAATTCGATTCAATCATAACATTGAGACTTTATGTTGGGAAGGGTAAAATCTACTCATGTCATGATGACAATATGTAATGACATTCATACGATTATTTGATAGAATCCCAAAAATTAAGCTCTCATAAAAACCATACCCCATTCAATTCAGACAATATTGTTCACATTTTGTTTGAAAAATTATGTTGTTTATGAAATGTTTAATTTTTTGAAATTATGCTAGTTATTGCAAATGAAAATCTTCAGAACGAATATCGTTTCTGAAAAAAAAACCATTGTAGACAAACGTATTCAGTTATTACCTTTTCAATTTTGCCAGAAAATATCATAAACCATTTGTTTGATAAAATTTAAATTGTCACACTTCATTTCTGCATTGATAGTTGAAATAATTATCTCATTAATAATTAATTCATTTTCAATAGATTTCTCCAACAATCAGAATGAAAAATTTGACAAAATAATGTCTGTGTAGCTTTCATAAATAACAATAATCATTATTCAAAATTTTCGATTGTTCATAAGAAAAAGGAATTTTTTTCAATATTTCCAGCATAGATCTTCAGTGAATAGCTCCGAACATTCCGGGCATTAATTCAAAAAACCATCACGCATTTTATGTGAACATTCAACTTCACCAAACATATTATTTAAAGAAAGCATAATAAGGTAAAACATTCCATTAACATTTTTTGTCTGCGTATCTTTGTTTATTCAAATATCCAACAGGATTTTTTTCTCATTGTCTGATATACACATTCAATGAATTGAAATATTTTTTTTATTGAAGTACCGCAATCTGGCGCTATGTGCTCGAGTAAAAATACTCGATTCTACTCGTATTTTCACCGCTCAATTGAAACTATAATTATTATTACGGTGGCTCAAACTTTTTCTTTGAAAAAGTGTCGGCAAGTTTTCAATATCTGCAATGGTTTTTGAGATACTCGAAAAAAATCCTCTTTCTTTGTTCAACTGAATTGTTATGACTTTTAAAATATATGTTAGCGCAACTTGGCTCGAATCGTGAAATACTGTGTAATGAATTACGAATCGAATGACACCTCAATCATAATTTTCTGTGAAGGCGAACTCAAATTTT